CAAAGCTGGGTCAAAAATCTCCATAAGGGCCAGCGGTCCTTCACGCACGACTATGCTGAGAGAGGGCCGCTGCAGACGGGGTGTGGTTAGCCCTGGCTGCCATTAGCATCGGAGGTCCACTGGCTGCCACGGTCCTCTCAACTTCAGAAATATTTTTTTTAATTATGCATTAAACCGGTAAATGGACCATATAATGACGCTTTAAAGTATAATAATTTCACCTCAAATGACCTCAAAACATGTTTTTATGGAACAACAGCAACAGAAAAGAGAACTTTTAACTTTTAATGGAGCGTCCCATCGAAAGCTGCTGCTGCCGTAGTGCATGCTACTGTTCAATAGTTGTTGCCATCTTCCTTGTGCTTTCTCCAGCATCACGCAGCTTTGTCGTCACGCCCTCAAAACCCCGCCCGATTTGCATCCAGACATTCAAAACACATCACTGCATTGTGATTGGCCCGCCAGTTCTAGGGCCTGGGGCATTGATCGAGGCTAGACCACTCGCAGGCAAAAATGATTTTGGCCGCTGGCAGCTGGGGCTAGTTCACTAGGCTATCTGTCTCGGTTTAGTTGTCTAAATCTTAACCTTTAATGCAGAAAACTCTGGATCAAATCCTGAAAACTTAATGAAAATGATCTAGGATATGATTTATACGTTTTCTTTTTTGTTATAATTAGTGTTGCACCGATACCAGTATCAGGCGGGGCCCCGATCCAGCACTAAAATGGTGCATCGGTATCGACAAGTATCAACCAATAGGGCACCGATACCATTTTGAGAGCCAAAAGTTTATTCAACTATTGTCACCCATTCCAGGTAGGCAATAAAAAGTTCTACTGGATTAACTTTGTATTAGTCTTTTTCCTGCTTCACAAAGGTAGGCAGCAGCTTGACAAAGCCATGATGGCAATTATTTTACATCCAAGCAGTATGCAGTTCTTCATTTATACACACACACATCAATTTCAAACAGATGGTATCGGCCAATACTACACAGCCAGGTATCAGGTATTGGTATCGGGGCCAAAAAATGGCATCAGTGCAACACTAATTTTTACTGAATTGTGTGAAGTAAAGTTTTACATTCATCCATTAGGTAACAGATTCACTATCAAAGCTCATTGGTTTCTGATCAGTGTGACTGAGCAGGATTAAGTCTGACTCTCAGTCTGGTCTGTAGCAGGCTGGCTGCTCACAATAAATCACCATGGCACCTGATGTGTTGCTGCTTTCCTGAAAATCCTGACTTAATCCAGTATCCTGGTTTCATGAAATTAGCCTCTGATCTTGTTGCATGTTTGTCTTTTCCTTCCTGCAGCTTTGGGTTCAGTTGGTAAAGATCTAGAAGCACCTGAGAGGTGGAAGTGACAGCCAATAGAGCTGCTCCTGCAAAGTGTTTCTCTCACTGAGAGGCTGCTCGATAACCTGAGCAGGTTGTCACAAACAACTTTTCACCTCATTTTATTCACTGTTACCACTGACTAGGGGGAACATGTCTTTATTAACGACATAATCATTTCTCTTTTCTTTGTGAATCTTTAATGTCAGAATAGAGAAAGCTAAGCACTGTTTTTAGACTTTCCTCGTTTGTTTCCAACAATGAGCAAAGATGGAAACAGACGAGTTTAAAAATGTAATTACTGACATTATAATCTCTAACTTCATCACCAACAGGTGTTAGAAGAGAACAAACACAATAAAACATATTTTTTGCAAATCGAAGTATATTCTGAGATTTATAGCAACTGGTTGAATCGATCAAAAGAGAAGTGAGGATTCTGATTCTGATTATAAAACTGTTTTATTTCTTTCTATCTTACCTTTAGTTCTGGTCCAAATGTTGATGCTCACAACCGTTATAGAAAGAGCTGCTAAACCCACAGAGACGATGATGATACGCCATAAACCTGAAAGAGAAACAAGAAATAATGTTCTGTAATCAAAGGTTAAAATGATATTTTACTTTATTAGCAGTCAGATGATTTTCATTTTTTTAAACTGTTTGTCAGCATAGAATTAAGCTAGAACTGATGGTAAAAGATTATTTAACAAACTCGAAAATGTATGAGAGAGGATATAAAATCACCATCTGTGTGTCAGTGTGTTGGGGGGGCATGTATTTCTTACATGGTGGGGACCGTTTTCCATGAATAATGGCACATTCTGAGGACCGACTGCTCTAGTAGGGACCAATGCCTGGTCGCCATGGACACAGATGCTGTTTTAAGGTGAGTTTAAAAACTAAGGTATGAATTGAGTTTAGGATGAGGTTAGGATTAGGCAAGAACACGTAATGCTTAGGTTTAGGGTCACAGTTAGGCTGTAGAAATGGGTTAGAAATGATGGAAGTCAATGAAAATTCTCCACAGGGATAGAGAAACATGACTGTGTGTGGAGTATAAACTAGATTTATCTTTTATATGAAAACAAAGAGAAATTACTTAATGATTTACCCTGAATTGTTGCTGCTGTTTCATTCTGATTCTTTCTCTGACCAGGAAAAGTTCACTCAGTCACTGTTCAGCTAGTTTCCCTATAAACCTCACACTCACACAGCAGCCCTGCTTAGAGAAACTAGCAGAGGTGAGCTGCAGCAATGGCTGCTTCAGGGGGAAAGATGGTGATTCCAGAGTGGAGGTACAGACACTATTTTACTTTCCATTAGATACATCCACATAGCATGAAAAGAAGGAAACTAGTCCTGGCATAGATGATTATAATCATGACACTATTGCAGGTGAGGTTGACAACATTCACTAATTCTAAGTTATATCCCACAAAATTACCTTGACAATGGCAATAAATTAATCAAAGCTCTAAAATGTCCCATTCTATGGAGGATGAAGTGACTTTTCTTAACATTGATCATGTCTTTTAAAACTGCGAGTCTGTTTTAACTCAGAAAAATTATAATTTAGAAAGATGTATTTGTGGTTTTATCAGTCAGAACTCTCATTCCTAACTCTCCATGTCATGATCACCAAAGTATGTATAAAGATGACTGAAATAACAACAACATGATAACAGGAGCTAAAGACAAACCACTCATATATTCATATTAATTTACTGAGTATAATTGGGCCAAACCTTGATTTGTTGTGTCAGAAGTTCTCCTGCTCCCAACTGTTTGCTTTGGGTCCTTGTTTCCTGGAGTGGCTTCATTTGTTCAGTTTCCAGGAAAAATAAGAAACAAAGTTTTTAAATATTTTGTAATGAAATGCAGCAGTGTCTTTTAAATGTATAAGTTTAACTTATAAGTAAAGTTTTATCAGATTTTTTTAAAAATCTTATTTCATGATTTTATTCTCTAATTTTAGAGCCAAAAAAGGCCAAAATGAGCAGATTATAATTTAGATCATATGATCATGATTTTGAAATATTTGTGAAACATTAGAACAATCACTACCTTGAAAGGCTGGTGAGACGTTTTTGGTTTCTGGTCTGGTTGTCTTTGAGTTTGTGTTTCCAGGTTCGTTTGTTGGTTGAACTTTTACTCCTGATATTTCTAGAAACAAGGAGAAAGTTTATATCTGTTTATTAAAGAGCTCTAATGTCTCTCTGTCTCTCCACTGTCCATTTCTATTCCAGCCCTCCTTCTGTTTTACCAACTGCTACCGTTTCCTGCTGAGAAGATCTTAAGTTCTGATGAATGCAGGGGAAAGATATGTTCAAATTCAATCTAAACTTCCTCAATCGTTCCTGTTGGAGTCACATTAAAAAACATCAGATAAGAATCAGATTCAGGACCAAATATGAGATGGGGTTGAAATATGACTACCAAAAAAAAAAAAAAAAAAAACTCAGATGAGGGCCATTAATGGGCCAATTCTGAGCCATTCCACTTTTTTTTTAAAGCCCTGACTACAAAAAGAATTAAATTTAGGCCAAATCTTTTCTGCAGTTGGAAAACCTTGTATGTCTCTACTTCTACTCACCTCGTCCAAAAAAGGCCAAAATGTGCAGATTATAATATACATCATATGATCATGATTTTGAAATATACTAAAACATTAGAACAATCACTACCTTGAAAGGTTGGTGAGATATTTTCGGTTTCTGGTCTGGTTGTCTTTGAGTTTTTGTTTCCAGGTTTGTTTGTTGGTTGAACTTTCCATCCTGATTTTTTTGGAAACAAGAACAAAGTGTCAGAAACCAAAACTGTTCATATGTTATTCTTCAAAACTCTTTTAAAGTATTAGACAGATTAAATAGCTATATCAGTTGATTTTGGTCATTAATAACAATCCGATTATTAATAAATGAGAAAACAGTCCAGTTGTGTCCAAATCCTGAAGCTAATCCCAGTTCCCTGTGATGTCAGTGATCTTCCTCAGCTCATCATCTTCTAACCTGTTTCTCACCTGAGGACTGAAGACTGAAGGTAAACTCTTCATCAGTAACAGTATCAGTCACTTTACACTGAGGGAACTCAGACCCTGATGATAAAGAGACAGTAGCAGAGCAGCCAGTCTCTGATGGTGGTTCTTTGTTGTCCACATCCTGATTAAACCATTTCACTTTGTATCTACAGGGGTCAAAGGTCACCACAGAGCAGCTTAATGTCACCCTCTGATTCTCCTGTTTAATTACTGAGGAAGAGAGAAACAATAAAAGACTAAATCAGACAAATGACCTCCATCACTAATCAATTCCACATATTGTTGCATGAAATGATTCGACTTTTAAGTACAAAAACAATAATTTAACAAATGTTAAAACTCACTGTTAAGAACAGACAGAACCACAGCAGACTGATAAACTGGTCTGTGTGCGTCTCTATATTTCCATTGTTCACAGATATAACGTCCAGCATCTTCCTCTCTGACCTTCTTTATAACCAGAGAACAGTCTGCTGTTAGACTCAGTCTGTCTGCTTTAGTGATGTCATTATTAANCAATGAGAAAGTTTATATCTGTTTATTAACAAGCTCTAATGTCTCTCTGTCTCTCCACTGTCCAGTTCTATTCCACTCCTTTTGTTTTACCAACTGCTACCGTTTCCTGCTCAGCAGATCTTTTTTTTTTAAAGCCTTGACTCAAAAAAAATCTAATTTTGGCCAAATTTATCTGCAGTTGGAAACCCTTATATGTCTGTACTTCTACTCACCTGAGCCTAAATAAGGCCAAAATATGCAGATTATAATATCGATAACATGATCATGATATTGAAATATATCTAATACATTAGAACAATCACTACCTTGAAAGGTTGGTGAAATAATTTTTATTTCTGGTGTGGTTGTCTTTGATCTTGTTTTTCCAGGTTTGTTTGTTGGTTGAACTTTTCCACCTGATTTTTCTAGAAACAAGAACAAAGTGTCTGAAACCATAACTGTTCATATGTTATTCTTCAAAACTCTTTCAACTTATTAGACAGATTATATAACTATATCAGCTGATTTTGGTCATTAATAACAATCCGATTATTATTTAAAGAGAAAATAGTCCAGTTGTGTCCAAATCCTGAATCTAATCCTAGTTCCCTGTGATCTCAGTGATCTTCTTCAGTTCATCATCTTCTAACCTGTTTCTCACCTGAGGGCTGAAGACTGAAGGTAAACTCTTCATCAGTAACAGTATCAGTCACTTTACACTGAGGGAACTCAGACCCTGATGATAAAGAGACAGTAGCAGAGCAGCCAGTCTCTGATGGAGGTTCTTTGTTGTCCACATCCTGATTAAACCACTTCACTCTGTATCTATGGAGGTCAAAGGTCACCACAGAGCAGTTTAATGTCACCCTCTGATTCTGCTGTTTAATTACTGAGGAAGAAAAAAACAATAAAACTCTAAATCAGACAAATTACCTCCATCACTAATCAATTCCACATATTGCTGCATAAAATGATTCGACTTTTAAGTACAAAAACAATTATTTAACAAATATTAAAACTCACTGTTAAGAACAGACAGATCTACAGCAGACTGATGAACTGGTCTGTGTGCCCCTCTGTATCTCCATTGTTGACAGTAATAACGTCCAGCATCTTCCTCTCTGACCTTCTTTATAACCAGAGAACAGTCTGCTGTTAGACTCAGTCTGTCTGCTTTAGTGATGTCATTNATGTCTAATTTCAAAGATCAGTCACACTGGTAAGATTGGATTTTACTTTTAAAACCTGCTGGTTTCCAGTTTAACCTCTGAAGTGTTTTTCTATGAACTGAAGAGGAAGTGATTGGTGAGGATGTGGTGAACAGCAGCCGCAGAGCTCTGGAGGTTTTAACCCACAATGAACAGAGAAATATACGTAGTTAACACATTGATGTGTGACATTAACAGACATTAATAGACACAGCAACTCAATTTATTTTAAAGCTACAGCTACATTATAACACATATGTCACATTTGTGGACAATAACCAACTAGAACTACTCATAGGTATAAAAATCTTCAGACACCAAAGACAGAAAATAGAGATGTAAAAAAACAAAAATACAAGGCATCTTAAATTTTAGAAAACTCATTTTACATGCATTAAGACCTTAAAACATGTTCAGTATATGATAAATAAAATGATAAACTACAATATTTTCACATAAAATCTCTGTTAAACCAGGCAGCCTGTTGTGATGCTTCAATGATGTCATCAACCAAACAACCTCTCAGCTCATCTCAGCTTTACATTTAAAAGCATTTAGCAGATTTTCTTAAACAGATTTCATTTTCAAAATTCAGAAGTCATTCAAAGTTCACAAATATTGATACTGTAACATCACACATTTAAACAGACATCAATACTGTGTTTGTTTCATGATATTTTAAGCTGATGATTGATTTTCTCCATGTGGAAGTGAAATATCATCTGACACTCAGGGGTCTTTAGTTCGGGCCCTAGAGCTCCAGTGTTCAGCACCTTTTAGACTATGTTCCCACTGCAGGTCTTAATGCTTAAACGTAAAAGCCAGTAAATTAGAATATTTTGAAAAACTTGATTTATTTCAGTAATTGCATTCAAAAGGTGTAA